TTCTTTTTTTTTTCGCCGCAGATCGTCTTTAATTTGCACGAAGCCATCAAGAGTTGTTTTCTGTTTTGGGTGTGCAGAGGTTTATGGTTTGTAGGGTATAAATAGCCTAGGAGAAAGGTTTCTGACTAGATACAAAGTTTAGCTCAAAATAGAATTGTAGTATGCAGTGAGTTCGTACACATGTAGGTTTATTCACATGCTTAGGATTCTTCTTCAAGTTGGAGTGTATCACATGCGTAACAACGGCCTCAATCCTCATACACTCGTATATGGCTAAAAGTCGGTTTGTATTTTGTGTACTTTACACACAAATTAAAATAGTTATAAAAATTAAGTTTTATTGTTTATGCCATATGTATAACTGGTACTAGATAGAGAACGTTACATCTATTATCGGACCATTTTTATCTGACTAAAACGTCGTAAACTTGGAAATTTTTATCTGGTTAGAATGTCACAACTGTTAAATTTTTGTTTGACTTACTTAAAAATTAAAATATTATTTCCGTAACATTTTATCTGACTTATCTGACTAATAAAATTTATTTTTATTTTTTTTAAATTTTTGGAGTGTCACACATACACCCGTGCTTGGGTCCTCCCTTGGTTAACGGACGCGGCGTTGCTAGCCGTGGGTCCGCCCCTTCCCGTGCCGGCCTGAGACGGTCCCGCACGTCCCCTACTAGTCGTAGGTCCTCCCATGGCTCCCGATGGTCCTCCTCCGTTCAGCATTGGACAAGAGGGTTTGAGGTGGCTCGTGCTACCGCATTTGAAGCATCGGGGTGGTTCATTGCACCTTCCCCCGTGATTCTTACCGCAGTTCACGCACCTTGGTGGTCCCACACCCCCCGGTTTGGGTCCTTGCCCTCCTGGGCCCTTATACCTTTTCGTTGATGGTGCTGGCGCCCTGAATGTACTGCCACCTCCGGCGTGATGCCTCCGAGAGTGGTCTTGGGGTCCCGAGTTGCCCCATTTCCTCTTCTTCGCCTCCTTGACGTCTCTCGCCTTCCTTTCATTCCATTGGGTTTCCCCAAGGAGCCCCTGATCAACGATTTGGCTAAATGTCATGTTGTGATGGTAAGTAGCCCGGTCACGGATGTCCAACTGTAGAGCATCCCAAAAGTGATTGGCCATACGATTTTCATCCAAGGAGTATTCTGGGATGAATCGTGCCAAGTCACGGAACCTCTGTTCCAATTGCCTCACCGAGCAACCATCCTCCTGTTTCAGGTTCGTGTACTCCCTCCTTTTGAGATTGACTTCAAAAGTTGAGTAGTACTGATTATAAAACTCCACTTCGAATTTCTCCCAAGTGGCTTCACCGTGAAACTTTCCTTCCACGCCTTCCCACCATACAGCAGCTACCCCTTCTAGAAGCCTGGTGGCAACCCTCAACTTCACGTCGAGTCCAATTTGCATATCCCTAGAAGCATCATTCAGCTTCTTAATCCAGTCGGCGGCCTCAGATATGTCGCCCTTGCCATCAAATGATTTGCACCCCAAGGCCCTGGCCTCCTTGAGGTACTTGGAGATACGCATCATCGTGTCTCCCCCAATTTCCCCCGATGGAGCACTAGAAGCACCTCGGCTTCCCTGCCCCATGGTTTGCCTAGCCTGTCTAGCTTGGCGTCGCTGCTCTCTCTTTGCTTTATTCTCAAGGTACCATTCTAGTACCTCACTCATACGGTCATACTGAGGATCATCATCCTCATCTTCTTCCTCAAAGTCCTCCCTGTTGTACGGGGTCTCCTCTTGCTCCGTGCTTGGAGCATATGTGAAATCGTCCGGTTCGGTGGCCCTAGATGGGTGCACAGAACCGACACGCGTGCTACTTGCCGTCGGCGTTGTAGAATGCCCACGACCCCTGCCTCGGCCTCCTCCTCGGCTTTGGCCCCGGCCTCTACCCCTAGAGGTCCGTGATTCCGCCCGAGTGGCATGCCCGGTGGCCCCCAGCACATGCCCTGTCAGGTTCCTTCTAGTTATCCTGCGTCCACCCTCCATTTCTGAAAGAAATAAGGAATGAGTCATTAGACTCGTTTCAATGTCAATTGACGGATTAGTACAAAAGACACCACTTGGTCCAATATTATGGCCAACAAACTGTTAAGGGTACCGTCTTAACAATAAGAGGTCAATAACTTGGTTTCCAACGGTTCCTTAAGTACAAAAACTGTTGCTCATGGTTTTATTCAAAACTTTTTGAGGATAACCATATTGAAAGGTTAATTATATAGTTTAGAAATCGATGGCTCTGATACCACTTAATTGTCACGCCCCGGACCGCATCCGAGCCACGTAGACAACCGCCGTACAATCCGATAAGGACAACAACAGTTCATCCCTATTGAATTGTACAAGGCGTCCGATTGATTCTATTGCCAAACCGATTAGTAAACACATACAATCAACATCAATATCATAATCAAACAAATGCGGAAATAATAATATGTTTGATACTTAGCCACATGTGGCAAACACGGGCACGCAGGCCCCCAACTGTTTTAATGAAAATATTGTTCAAAAATCCATGAGCAGTTTATATATTTGAAATAAGAATGGAAGCACGAACCACGTCTTCCTTCTTGATCAATCACCCTAGGCAAAGGTGCAGGTAGTAGGACTCTAGCCTCAACCTGAAAAATGTGAGGGCCCCCGGAGGGGTCAGTACTCCATAGAAGTACTAGTGACAAGCAGGCTATATGAAGAATAACTAATGTTTCAGACACGAGACCCAAAAATAGGGTGATACACACACACACACACACACACATATATATATATATATATATATATATATATATATATGACTCATTCATCCGATGATACATACTGTATATATATTTGTAAAATACTCGACCCGTAGGTCATTTCATTCAAAGAGTCTTTTAGAGATAAAGTTCTTACCTGACCTTTCTCACTCCTTTCCTGAATGCCTAGCTCACCAGCTACATTCTACATTCATAATATCCTACCGAGTTTTGGGAGCATTTCGCATCCCGGGGATACTCAACCCCAACCGAGTTTCAGGATCATTTACCGTCCCGGGGATACTCAACCCCAACCGAGTTTTAGGATCATTTGCAGTCCCGGGGATACTCAACCCCAACCGAGTTTCAGGATCATTTATAGTCCCGAAGATGCTCAACCCCAGTCGAGTTTCAGGATCATTTATAGTCCCGGGGATGCTCAACCCCAACCGAGTTTCAGGATCATTTAATGTCCCGGGGATACTCAACCCCAAACTAAATCCTTACCAAACCCTAACTTGGATATGGCTAACCTTTCGTTCCTTCAACTATGGACAATACCTAGCCCTATAGTCATATAACCAACCTTAGGAACCAACGTGGGCGGGTCCAACCTGAACGGCCCACATTAACCCGCTCAAAACTGCCCGTTTTGAGCATAACCCAATACTCGATCGAGTATTAACCCATACTCGGTCGAGTACAGGAGACAGTAGTCCACAAAGCTGATTTTCAGCAAATACCCGGTCGGGTATGACAGTTGACTTGTCGGTCAACGCACGTTTGACCACCCAAACTGAGTCCGATTAACGTGAAATTTTATACACATATACTCCTTGACGTCCTTGATCCAAAAATACCATTTTGGATCCCTGGAACATCACACATAATAGGTTATCACACTTTTAACCACCAAACCTACATAACATGCTTTTCAACTATGTTTTATGTATAATCATGGCATAAGCAAACACTTGGTTATCTTTACTCATTTCATAAAACATATCCTTGATTACTTTAGGTAATATCATGCCTCACGCAAAAGTTATAAAGCATAAAGCCGTCTTCTCACCTTAATGAAGCTTATGAAGTTCTAGCCTTGCCGATTTAGCTCCGGCGAAACTCCGGCGAACTTCAACGAATTCCGGCGACAACTCCGGGGACCCTTTCAACTCCGTGAAAGTTCCTTGGATACCTTAGACAAGTTTCTAACAAGGTTTTATCATCATAAAACCCATAGTAATACAAATAACCTCAAAAAGGTTATTTTCCGGCGAACCGGTTACTTTGGCTTCTAAGTCCGTTCTTGGACTTAGAACCACCTTCCAACCCCTCATTCTACACTTCCAAACGTGTAGAACAATCCTAGGGTGTGAAATATGATTGAATAATCATATAAGAGGATTAAAGAAAACGAAATGGGATTAATGGAGTCCTTACCTTGCTAAACACAAGTTTTCCTCTCCAAAACCAACTTTTCCTCTTCTCTTTTCCCCTCCTTCTTCCTCCTTAGCTCAAGTGCGTAGATGGTGGATGAAAATGGAGTATTTCCAGACCTTATCTCTCTTCCTTAGGTAGGTTGGCCGAGCTTATGGGTTTAGGAGTGATAGAGATACTCCTCTTGGCTTATTCACCAATAATGTGGGGGGGGGGGGGGGGGGGGGGGAGGGACCTTTCTCCTATCACATTTGGTCTCTCGGTCCTTTCTCCCCTCTTTCCTCATGTTAATGTGCGGCTCCCCTTACTCATTTGCAGCCCAAAAACGTGGGTTGGCCCCCACTTAAGTGGGAGGTCAACCCTTTGTGTCCCGGGGTGTACAATCGGCCCCGAAAGTTGTATTTTCCGGACTGTTTTAAGTATATTTTATTTTATCGGGTCAAATAAAATATAACACTTGTTCCCAATCCTTATTGGGCCTTAGAATCAATATGTGTTCCCCAACTTTAATTTAGAAGTCTCCGTAATCCCTTTTTGGGCTGTTATCTGATAAATTGCCGATACCGATAATTGGCCCCGTTTGACCAACCGGTCAACTCTATGCCATTGTCATGGCCCAATTAGGATATCCACCACCATATACATATTATCTAGTCCAAGATTAATATAATATGTGGTCCCGATAATATCGGGCGGCCCCACATCCGATGTGGGCCCCACGTGAATTTTACTATTCATGTAATAGAAATGATAAAAATTTACAATCACGTAAAAATGCTTTTATACATTCCTCAAGGTTCAATACATAATTTGGTACAGTACAAATACTCGGGGGCGGTGTTACACCTCTCTTCCAGAGACGGCAGCAGGCTCCATCCTCGAAGATGACGGTGAAGATGATCTCCGGCGTTCTCCTCTTCTCCGGCGTTGTGGGGCGTATGTTGGCCAACTGGCATATATGTGCACAGGTTTCGTTTCTTCGAATGTTTTGGTGCGTAGTGTTGGACAACGACGACGGCGGCCCTTTCGTATGCGAAGATCGTAAGTCGCATATATATATATATATATAACCTTCCGACGTTTCTAGACCCCTAGGGTTTCTTGTATTAAATCTCTAAGCGTTTTCTGCGACCGTTTTTCTTGGGTGCTTGGCTGTGCATTTAAAAATGTAAACCCATGCAGGTATTAATCCATAGCTAGGTATATATGGAAAGTCAGCATTTGTATAAAAAGTAAGTAGTATGTACGTACTTCGTAATATTATTATAGTATACATTATTATATGTATAAAAGTAAGTACTAGGTAAGTGTGTACCTATTTTATTATATCACTTGCAAAACAAAATGTTACTTCCATTATTTAGATCAAAATTTTATCTGATTAACATAATTATTATAAAAATATCAATTTCAAATATGATTAGAAAAATTATCTATCTTATTAGTAATTAGTAATATTATTTATTTTATTTTTATTGAAATTTTTGGAGTGTCACAGTGAGCCCTTGGTTTAAGATGGGGAGCAATGTTGCCACCGAGAGCTATCCGTGATAAGAGGGTTTGATCGTTGATTTTGCCGGAGGCTCTTCGCTGGTACTTAGTGATGCCGAAGGCTGATTGTTGATATCCTGGAGGTGTTAAGGGGAATGTTTGCTGGGAACACACCTCCGAAAGCGTTCGTAGTTGATAAGCATGAGCGGGCATACCGGGGACTACTGAGGGTAGTCCCCCAGTTGAAGAGGCTGAGGGCTTGATCGTTGTTGATGAATGCCGATGATTGTCCCTGTGTGCCGAGGGGTGTCCTGGTATTTTAGCCGGAGGCTAACCACTGATGAGGGGGTTTGAAGGTGTTGCCCCGAGGGGATTCCTGGTTCCCAACATGTTGAGGGCTGAGGGGTCCCGAGGGGTTTTCCCGTTGTTAAGCCGTTGGCTCCTCTTGATGAAGGATTCTGAAGGAGAAAGCCCGAAGATATGTATAATGTTGTATGAGGGGTGCCGGACGGGAGCACCTCTGTGTTTTCAAAATATAGCCGTTGTGATAGAGTAGTTGGAGGTATGATCCACGTGGCACGCACCTCTTGGCCGAAGGCGGGCGGGTGCGACCTATTGGGTGAAGTGGCGGTTTGTAATGATGGGTTTTTCAAATCGAGGCCCATACTTCGAGGCTGGGAGCCTATAAATACCCCAAGCTGAGCTCATTTCCTCTGTGCGATTTTACTTGATAGCGAAGCTCTGCCAAAATTTCTAGAGAGATAAACACTTGGATCTGATCAAATCCTTATTTTCGAGGTCAGTTCTTCACCTGTTCTTCCATTTCTTCGCATATTTTGCTTTGTGGCCTTAGATCTTATGTTTAGAGCTTTAGAGCCTTAGGAAATTCTTCCCTCCCCAACCCTTTCGGCTACATTACCCACAACATGTCTTCGGTAAGTGATTCCCAAGATATCTCGGGGGAGCCGTCGGTGCAGCAAGAGAGCTACTCGAACGTGGAGTCCTCAAATGAGCAGGCCTCGCCAGCGAATGATTATGTTATAGCCGAAGAGGTTCAGGACAACCTTCGGATCGAGGTGGAGGCGGAGGAGTTCGAACAAGTCGTAGAAGACGAGGAAAGGGCTCTCGCTCTCCAGGTGGTGGAGGAGAAAGAAAAATAGAGACGGCAGGTGACAGTCGCCGTTCTGCCTCCGTGAGGTGTCGGGGGAGCGAGCAGCTCCCGGTCGATTGACGCTGAGCCCCTTCGGGTAGCCGCGGGGAAGAAGAAGAGGACGCTGATAGCAGAGGGCCCTTCCAAGAGAAAGAAGGCTGCCGTCGATGCGGGGCAGCCGGTGGGGATCCCCGAAGGTCACTCCTATCTCAACACTGTCACCCTTGATCTGAAGACAACGGCCACGCCTTCTGATTGCCAGGCTACGCAGCTCATGGTGGGGCCTTCGGTTCAAGTGGTGGAGCCGGGCCCGGAAGACTTATTCCCCCCCCCCCCCGCGAGGGTTGTTTTGCAGTGCACGTGCTCTCTGTGGAGCTAGGCCTCCGGTTTCCGCTCCACCCGTTCTTGTTGGAGTATCTCAAGTTCCTGGGGCTTTCCCTGTCAATTGACCCCCAATAGCCATTCTTACATCTCTGGGTTCCTGTCGTTGTGCCGGAGCCGGGGGGTTACGCCCTCCTTGGACCAATTTTTCATGTCCTTCAACCTCTGCCGAGGGGGAGCTGCTAATAGCGAGGGCTTCGCCAACCTTCAGAAGGTGTCCTCGTCCCATAAGCTATGGAGGGATCGGTTCTGTTATATCAGGACGCCGAATAATGATTTCCTGAGGCCGCTTCGTAATCATTTCCGGAGGCATCTAAAAGTGGGGAGCGCTGCTTTGGAGAAGGAAGGGAAGAAGCTTACGTCCAAACCCGAAGGCTCCGATCAGCTGATAACAATCAAGGCTGCGACCCACCCGGATGATCTTTATGGATTGGCCTTCCGGCGGTTCCGGCTGGAGGGGGAGAAGGATGAGAAGTATCCCCCGACGGACCGAGGTTACCAGAATGCCGAAGGTTGTTGCCGAGGGATCTCTTCCTTAGTACTTAGACAATTTTTGGCTTTGATTTGCTTTGATTCTAATATTTCCTTGTCCTTTACAGGTGACATTATGGACCCGAGAGCATTCGCTAAGCTGTCCAAACAGTTGGCGAAGGAGGAGAAGAGGAAAAAGGAGGGGCCTTCGACCCAGAAGCCTATAGACTCCTTTTTCAAGAGGGACCAAGTGGAGGAGGATCCTTCCATAAAGATTGATGCCGGTGGTGAAGAGGCCGGAGGCTCCAAAGCTGAGGAGCTCAAAAGAAAGAATGTCGGGAAGGGCATTAAGCCTCCCAAAAAGAAGAAGCTGAAGGGGGCCGTTAACCAAAAAGAAGCCCCCGTCGTCATTGTGGAGGAGCATTCTTCCTCTGAGGCCCCGGGCCAGGGGGCCGCGGTGGCCTGGCCTCTGGAGAACGTGAATTTCTCCGTGAAGAAGGGGATTGCCATTATGCATGGCACGCTAGACCCGAGGGAGTTCCTGAGGGGCGCCACTCCGCCGACGGACAAGTCAGTGCTTTCTCGGCAAAAGGACGATACCCTCGGCTCAAAGGTCCTCCAAGCTTCTGTCACAATAAGTTCTTCCTTCTTTCATTTTCCTTAATCATTGGCCCTAGTATATTTTGTTCCGTAACTTATCTCTCGTCGTGGTTTGTTTCCTTACAGGCTTGCATTGGCCTCGGTGAGCTTCTCCATAGGATGGAACAATCGAATCTTCAGAGGGCGCAATCCGAGGAGGCCCAGAAGAAGCTGGAGGAGGATAATGCAAGCCTTCGGTAGAGGCTGCTTGATGCCAAGAGCGCCCTCCATCTTGAAAAGGAGTCCGTTCAAAAGAAGGTGGACGACGCCCGAGCCTTGGGGAAGGGTGAGGGCCTGAAGGCCGCTGCTGCCACCATCCAAGATGCGGCTGATGAGGTTGCGAAAGCTAAAGCTGACGCCGTTGCCAAGGCTGAGAGAGATGCAGTGGCCGCCTTCCTTGCTGAGGGTTGGAGAGCCGAAGGGCACAAAGAGTGGGTGGCCTCGGTGGTTGAGCAGTATGTCGATCCATGGGTTGTAGGCCCCGATGTGATGTGGCTTGCCCGGAAGGGTAAGAGTTTTTATGAGGGTGGTGAGTATTTCACCCAAGCTAATATCTACCGGAAGCTGGCCCGGCATTTTGGCGCGGACCCGAAAGACTTCCAGCCTGGCGCCTACGGTCTCCCTCCCCTCCAACCGGATGTTAGGGCTCCTCTTCTCGAGGGCCAAGAGAGGGTGCTGCTCGAAGACTCTGAGCTGGCCAGATGTGATGATGATGAGGATGAAGATGTCGAGGGTGATGCTTCCTCCATGCCGAAGGGAGATGCAGCCAAAGAAGCACAAACTTAGAATTTCTTCTAAGTATAAACATTTGTAATAGTTTGTAGGTTTTGGCTTCGGGCCGTTTGTACCAAATACTTAACATCATTTTTGTTCTCTTTTATGGATGACGCCTTCGGGCATTTGAGATGTATGAATTTACTTTTCTCTTTTTTGGTGAATGATCGTCTGCCTTCGGGCCGTTTAACTTTATTCCCTTCTATTCTTCTGTTGAATGAATGTATTGTCTCATGCCTTCGACTTCTTTCATGCCTTTTCATAGTTGTCGATATGTATGTGTGCATTATGATTTGACCGAGGGCCAATCATTCAGGACATAGAAAATTATTCTAAATGTTGTTCAGTGTGAGGCCTTCGGTCGATGCTTCCTTCTGATCTTGTGTGGCCGGCATGAGTTGACCGAGGGTCAGTCTTTTAAGGACTTAGAGATTTTACTAAGTGTAGTTGTGCCCTGAGGCTCCTGATGGATGTTGAATTGGCCGAGGGACAACTATTCAGGACTTAGAAAATTTTCCAAGTGATGTGCATTGTGTAGCCTTCGGTTACCTGGCCTCTTTTAGGTGCATGATGGTTTGACCGAAGGCTGAATATTTAGGACTTAGAAAATTTTTCCAAGTGTAGTTTTACCACCGAGCCTTCGGTTGTGTGACCCCTCTGGTTGCATGTAGTTTTGACCGAGAGCCCAAGACTTAGAAAAAGTCTGTGAGTGTAGTTTGTCACTCGGCCTTCGGGGGAACCCAATGTTATGGACTTAGAATAATTTCCCTTGACTTGTGAGTACTGGCCTTCGGTAATGTGTAGTAGGTGCCCTCGCTCCTTGGGTAGCAAGTGAGCTTTCGGATTTGGTAGATCCCAAAGTGTGGACTTAGGCATATTTTGGTAACATTTGTTGAAGGGTAGCTTTCGGAGTAAGAGCCACCGTCAAAGGTAACTTTCTGAATAAGAGTCTTCAGGTACCGGAGGTGTTCCACAGGGAAGCCTTCGGTATGATCTTGGAATGCCTTGTCAGGAGCTGCCGAAAGGTGTTTTGTTGGAGTTTGTACTCATTGATTACTCGTTGAGTCTACTCCCCTTCACTCCACACACACACACACACACACACATATATATGTAGTGAAGCCTTCCCTTCACT